TTACCTTACCTTACCTTACCTTACCTTACCTTACCTTACCTTACCTTACCTTACCTTACCTTACCTTACCTTACCTTACCTTACCTTACTTTACCTTGACCTTATCTTATCTTCTCTTATCTTATCTTATCTTAACTTATCTTACCTTATCTTATCTTATCTTAACTTATCTTACCTTATCTTATCTTATCTTATCTTAGCTTAGCTTATCTTAGCTTGTCTTATACCTCATAATTATGATGCAGTCTATATGAGCAGGATGTTTTTTGAGTCTGCATGGACTCTGTGTTTGTATTGATTTGTGCAGGTGCTCTGGCTTATTTCCATGGACTCTTGGTGTGAGTGTGTGCACATGCACAGCTGTATCTCTGTCTGGACCCTGATCTGTCCAGGATGTACCCTGCCTCTCACTCTGTGCCAGCTGAGACAGGCTCTTGACCCTGAAAAGGACAAAACAAGCATAATCATGAATAAATGAATAGCAAGTGTGAAAAACCGACACTACATTACCACAAACTGTACACGGTTTAGACCCAGCAGCACGTACTTACCCATTTTACAACATTTTACAAATCCAGAAATAACAGTCCTTCTCAAACCTTTTCCGTGAAGGTCAGGGTTGACGTGACCTGCAGGACATGGAGGCTTCCTACAGATCTACATGCATTTTATTTAAAACATATATGCCAACAGATGGTGTCCAGAGTTTATTTCTCAATAAAAAGGGAAAATCTTGTTGTTTTATGCTGAATATACAAGTCCCTGTGCTGATTTCTGCTGAAGTCATCAATGCTCCGGTTTGATATGATCTGGGTGATGCTCACAGTGACACCCTGTGGATGAAGGAGACAAAGCAGGAACGGAAGGTCTGACCATCATCTGAGCTCACAGTCTCACCTGCTGCAACAAAAGGAAATGCAATTAGTTCAGATGATGCTCGTAGACCCAGGGAAGTGAAATATAGAAACAGGAGTTAATTAAGACCATGATGGGCTGTTCACCAGACTGGGAGTGAATAAAGTTCTGCTTGACTCTATTAACTTGTGTGGACGTGCTGAAACTCTGTTTATCCAAAGCCTTGCTCTATGTCAATCAAACACAAAGTGTTGATGCTAAACACACTTTCGAGAAGCAGCTTTATGTTTTAACAACAGATTCTGCAGAGAAACTTCTGAGCGGGTGCGTTCTAACTCAGAGGCCGAGTCGTGTCGTCCCACAAGGGAAAAAATATTCAGATTGATGGGCTGTCAGGCCATTGTTGTAACTGTTGCATCCCGGAGATCAGACTCAGTTCAGGAACACAGAGATCTTTTTGTTGTTTGGAAGACACAGATAATAACAGTGTCTAAAGAACTGAAGAAAATGCAAGAAATTGGATCCCGCAGCTGTACAATGCCCACAACTTAAAACCCTGCGTGACGACCGTTCAGACGAAATACTAGTTACATGTTCTTGGGGTGTCAACTTACACAATATGAGAGTTAAACACAGCTCTATCGTCACGTGACATTTCTGTGGGAGGCAAAGAGGGTGTGAAATGTTATGAAGTGTTAACAATAGGTTCTGGGTTGTCTTTCCCTTGTGCTGACGTGATTATTCAGGTTGCTCAGTCAGGCTGAAGTCCTTTGAGTAGCAGCTCTGTGGCTCAGAGTTCAGGTCAGAGCTCAACCTGAGTTCAGAGTCAAGCTGAACAAATGAACAGTTGTGATCCAGGGAACTGATTGATTCAAATAATCAATCCATTATCTTTTACACACTTCCTCCTTTTTGGGTCACGGGGTTCACTTGTTCCTTTATTCAGCAGTTACTGTGCGAGAGGCGGAAGTACACCCTGGACAGGTCTCCAGTCCATCACACAAACAACCATTCACTCTCTCACTCACACCTAGAGACAATTTAGAGTTACCAATCAGTCCAACATGCATGTTTTTGGTTTGTGGGAGGAAACTGGAGTACCCAGAGAAAACCCATGTATGCACGGAGAGAACATGCAAACTCCACCCAGAAAGGCCCCCGGACTGGGATTTTAACCGAGGCGACCTGCTCGCTGAGAGGCAGCAGCTCTACCAGCTGTGCCACCGTGCTGCGATTCAAATCATGTTTGTGATTTTGTGTATTTTTGTCCCCCATCGCAGAAAGAAGAAGAACTGGAATAACCCTCCATTCATTATTGCATGTAGTGAGCAGGATAACTTGAAGAATAAGCCAGGTACTGACTTCCTTTATGGTGTGTGGCTACATTCAAGGATTCAAGGTTCTTTATTGTCATTCACATCATCACACATGGTACATGAAGTGGAACAGAACTACCAGTATGAACACAGGGTCCCAGTTACATCCAACAAAAATACAAATTGTAAAGAAAAAGCAGTAATAAAATCCAAGACACCATCTACACCATCTCAGCCCCTGATTTAATCATGTGACTGATAATCACAGTTTAAAAAATAAAAACCACAAGCTCTGCTTGCTGGAGAAAGATGTTTTTCGTTGTTTTTGACTCTGTCCTAAAATCACTTGTCTTCACCTTCTGTTGGACAGCTCTGCTGAAAGGCTCAGCAGCAGATGCATCAAGCTTAAGATCATCATGGAGCTGGTTTTATTCCTTTGAGCCAATGTCTCAGTAAAATCTAACTTAGTATTCTTAAACTGACTAAGTTCTTACAGTTTAAATCATTTGTTTTATTGGCTAAGGCTGATTAGCTGTGGCAGCCATCATGCTATGGGCTGACTGAAAGATACTCAGTTTAAAGTGTGCAGCTAATTCAAAGTTTAGTTAAAATTGATCTAAATATCTAACAGACTGACTGATACATGCCTATAGACCCAAACACACACCACCTACCTGATTAAAACACACATCAACTGCAAACCAAAGCTACAGAAATTAAAGGAAATTATATATTTTTTGACTAAAAATAGTTTTCCTTTGTGCAGATAAGAAAAAATATAAATATTTTGACAGTATGTTGGTGTAGAGTCTTGGTCATTCAGGACAAGATAAATCCAAAAAATAAAACAAAATAATCCATTTGTTCAGTTAAAAAAATATATGATAAAGAATAATAATTTTTCACATTGTCCCTGCAAACAAGTCTTAAACTGTGATGTCTGGATTTAATACTTTAAAGTAGTTTACCTGCATCTTTACTATTCAACCAGCCTGACAGTCAGTGTAGATCTGCAGACTGGAGGCTGTTTGTCAGGCATTAACAGGAACAAAACAAAGCAGTTGTCTAAAGATGATGAAAATCAACGTCTACATAAAAATATCCCCGAAGCACACAACGATTCCTTTACCAATGAAGGTGATAAAACCAGACATTTCAGGAAAAATGAGCCTTGTCAAATAAGAGTCAACAATAATTAAATAATAATGAATATGCTGTGTCTACTACAAGAATAAACAGAGCACAGCAGGTAAATTATTACTGCAGTTTGGAACAGAACACACTTTGATAAATGAATCCTGGACTAATACAGAGCACCTTTTCCAGACATTTGCAGGTCTTTGATTTTGTTTCTGACAAACCCCTGAAAGTTATCTATTTGGTTTCATCTAGCTCCTGGTGTCTCCCCCACAATACAACGGGAAGCATCTTCAGATAAGAAGATTTATTACACACTGACAGAAAAGTCCTGATTTTGGATTGATGGTGAACAGTTTTATTTTTACATGCTGGGTTAAGTGAAACACGCTATTTGATGTTAGATGCACCTTCATCTTAATCTGATTGGCTCAATCTAAATCATAGTAAATGTCACAGAGAACAGGTGCGTGCATCAAGTCTCCTAGCTGGAGTTTATTTGACATTGATATACCGAAAGCCCGAGTCACTGATGGATACAGCACATACTGGCTTTACATTTACACTGTCAACATTAGCTCGGCTCACGTCTCCAGAGCGGCTGCAGCAGATCAAAAGCTGCATCAAACAAGAAACAACCAACTTTGAATCTAGAGCAACTTAGCAGACTTCCAAAGGTCAGCATGGCCCATTGGTGCTAGGATTTTGTTGACAAAACAATTTCTTTTTTTGTGAAGCACAAAAGGGTGTACGCGAAGGTGGAAGGCGGAGGTGTGCCTGATGTATTTGTGGGCGTTAACATTACCTGGATGATTCAAGCTCGCTCACACACAAGAGTATAAATGCAAGCAAATGGTCATCATCAGGCACAAGAGAAGGAAGGGACACACCTAAACTGTCCAAGACAGGTGACAAGAACAAGACTGCGGTTTATTCAACTGTTCTTCTCTCACAAACAACCGCTCACTGGTGAGTGCATTAATATTTATATGTATATGTGTGTGTATAAACTGTATATATATATATATATATATATATATATATATATACATGAATATTTTTATTTTGATCTTTTATATGTTTTTAGCAGAACACTGTTATTTCCTTCTTTATTACTCTGCTTGCATCAGTAAGATTACATTATGATGGGTTAACTCAACCACTGCACAGTGTTTTTTTTATTGTTTGCTTTGTCTAATGTAAAAACGTTAGAATGACACTAGAGAAACTGTCACTGAAGTGCAGTGTTATATACCTTCAGGACTGTATTTACAGCTGATCCATGCAGTGAGACAGTGTAAAGCACCAGGACGTTTGCCATTTCTTTTCACTTTATTTCATTAACTTTAATGGTGATTATAAATTTGATTTGTGTTGAGTTTGAAACCTAACGTCTCATTCTGAGTAAAGGCCTCTAAAGACATGCGTTTATCTGTAAATGTAGTCATTTTCTGATGCAAAGCAATAATTTTGAAACTCACCATACCTGCCCAACCCTTAAGTACCTGGAATTACTGAATACTGCCTGAAATCCTGCTGACCTAATGAGATACATGATGACGTGGTCCACTTTCAAAAGGATTAGGGTTTACAAACAAAAAGTACAGTGTGATTACTTGATACCTTTTGGCAAAACAAGCTGATGTAATATTTGAACGCTGCCAAAACCTAAAACTCACTGCACAGATTGTTTATTAGTTTTTTCACCTTTCATTAATAAGCATGACACAAGGCAAAAAGCAGTTTGCATGACTTGGCAACAAGTTATACTTCTCTGGAAACCTTCGAGCCGCAATGTCTTCCAGCTACCATTTATAATGTAGGATATTTATGATAAGTCATAGCTTTAATACAGCTGTGATTTCTGAAGGTAGCAACAATGGTGAACTTTGAGCAAACGAGCTTAACGGTACAAAGTTTTCTTTCTTACTTTGAGATGTAAAAACCAGGACCAAAAAGTCACACACTTTTTCACTTAGAGCAGGCGTCTGAGACGCTTTAGTGTAAATTCTTCTTTTACAGTTCTTCAGATTTTAGCTGCATTCATTAAAGTTATAATAGAGCAGTAAAACTGTACTGGAACTGAAACGCTTGATGCTTTTAGGGCTGTGAATAAACAGACTCTCTCTAAACTTCTAGTTGCACATTCTAGTATTTTTTGATCATTTTAGGTTTCTATGAAAAAAAAAACACTTAATGCAATGTTTTAAGAAATATGCTACAAACAAGACTTTTTTTTTTTTTACATAATGTACCGTCATTTAGCTTCAGTTTTATCTTCACTTCACTGATCAGCACTATTGTTTGCTTGAGTATCTTAACGTTAGCTCATACAGCTTGTGCAGTAACTCATTATTTATCGTTCTGTTGAACTGTCTTACAGGTTGTTTATTTATACAAAACAATGAGCTCCATAAACCAACGTATCCAAGACTACCTGGCGGAGAGAAGGAGGCGAAGGACCAGGCTAGTGACCAAAGATGGTCGCTGCAACATTGAGTATGGAAACATCAAGTACAGCACTCACTTCGCCTTCTTGGCTGACTTCTGGACCACCTTTGTGGAGATCAGGTGGCGTTTTGTCCTCATCTTTTTCAGCGCATCCTTCACCATGAGCTGGTTCATCTTTGGACTGCTGTGGTACTGGATCGCCAGAAATAATGGGGACTTGACGTGGCAAAACCCCTCTGAAGATCACTCTCCATGTGTCAACAACGTTGTGGGACTCACCACAGCGTTCCTCTACTCAATTGAAACCCAGATGACAATTGGGTACGGCGGACGAGCGATCACGCCTTTCTGCCCAGGTGCAGTAGCCGTTCTCATTATCCAGTCCCTTCTCGGAGCGATTATCAACTGCTTCATGTGTGGAGTCATCCTGGCCAAGATCTCCTTACCCAAAAAGAGGGCTAAAACCATCACATTCAGTGAGATGGCTGTCATATGTCCGAGAAATAATTCACTTTGCCTGTCAATCAGAGTGGCCAACCTGCGCAAGACCCTGATGATTGGAAGCCAGATCTACGGCAAACTGTTGAGGACAACGACAACACCTGATGGGGAAACGATCATCATGGACCAGGTGAACATTGACTTCATGGTAGATGCTGGGAAGGACAACCTGTTCTTTGTATGCCCGCTCACATTATACCACGTCATAGACAAGAGCAGCCCTTTCTTCGAGATAGCAGTGGACACACTACACAACCAAGACTTTGAGCTGGTGGTATTCCTTGATGGCACAGCAGAGTCCACAAGTTCTTCCTGCCAAGTACGGACCTCTTTCATTCCTCAGGAGATCATGTGGGGCTTCAATTTTATGCCCATCATCTCCAGAAGCAAAGAGGGCAAGTACAGAGTAGATTTCTCCAACTTCTCCAAAGTGGTACCTGTGGCCACTGCGCACTGTGCATACTGTTACCACAACATCAAAGGTAACCATTTGCTTTCCATGGACGGACATGAAAACCTGGGCTTTGAGGTGATTGAAATTAATGATCCTCCTAATGTTACCAAGATGTGAAACTCTTCATGCAAAACAGTCCCCAATAAACTGACTCTATTGGTGGTTTGGGATGCTGATGTATGAACTTCTTGAGGGCAGACTGTTGGAGGAAGTCAATCAGACATCCCGATGCTTGGCAGTTATATGAGCTGAGGAAACCAACTCATGTGTTACTTGTTTTATATCTGACCCACTTAAGAAAGACTTGTGTGGAGTCAAGGCACTTCCATATACTGCGTGTAAAGCCACACCTATCATTTTCTGCTGACCAGAAACATGTTTTCAGATAGAAGACATGGTCACGTTGGATGGTGAAACTTCAGTGCAAGAACACAAAGCTTTCTCTCGAAGGAAATATAGATATAAATGAAGAGTGGTGGGTCCAACATACCTCTGGTCTTAGATGATTAATATATTTTTCATAAAGGAAACAAAGAAGGTACTGTAATTGTGTAACCACACAACTGAGTTAATACTTGAAGAATCAGAGGGTGGTCCTGCTCGTGTCCTTGTTGATGTAGCAGGTCAATAAATAATGAAGAATGATGCTTTGGCACTAAGACACGTGACTGAAGTCTGGACCAGTCTTTTAAAACTGTGACATTTGTATGAATGAAGAATGAAGACATGAGAGATCAGCTTTCTCAAGAAATACTTCATTTCCCTACATACAGAACTGACTTGAAAAATTGAGATTGTAAAGTTTTTTTGTAATTGTTTTACTCAGGGTAAATAAATAAATAAATACTATTTTTACATTCTATAAGTGTGTTTGTGTCATTGTTATTACACAATTATTATTGGCACAAATGGTAGAGCTGCTGCCTCTCAGCGAGTAGGTCCTTGGTTCAAATACCGGTCCAGGGGTCTTTCTGGGTGGAGTTTGCATGTTCTCTCCGTGCATGCGTGGGTTTTCTCCGGGTACTCCTGTTTCCTCCCACAGACCAAAAACATGCATGTTAGGCTGATTGGTAACTCTAAAATGTCTCTAGGTGTGAGTGAGAGAGTCTATGGTTGTTTGTCTCGTTTGTCTCTATGTGTCTCTGTGATGGACTTGCGACCTGTCCAGGGTGTACCCCACCCTTCACACAATGATTGCCGGACATGGGCACTGGCAACCCCCGTGACCCAAAATGGAAGAAGCGGGTAAAAGATAATGGATGGATGAATGGATGGATAATAACAATAATAATAATAATAATGATAACAACAACAACAATAATAGTAATAATCATAACAATAATAATACCAACAACAACAATTACAAGAATAACAATAATAATAATAAGATCAATAATAATAATGACAATAATAAAAATTAAAAAAAATAATTAATTAATTCAACCTAATAATAATGATCATGATAATAATAATAATAATGACAACAATAATAATAGTATGATAATAACAACAATAACAGCAATAAAAATATTAACAATAACAACAGAAATAATAACAACAACAATAATAACATTAATATGGCACCAACAATAATAATAATATTAGTAATCATAATAACAATAACAACAATGACAATAAAACAACAATAATAATTAAAATCAATAACAATAAAATTAATAACAATATTATAACAACAACAACAACAACAACAATAATAATAAACCCCTTCAATAACAAAGCCAAATCCAGTTTTTACAAAGTAAAATAACATGGTGCAGCATAGACTGGTGACAATCCCTGACAACTGTATAGAGTTGCATTCAGGCCCCAAAAATCTGATCCAACTCAGCCCCAGCTCGCAGTCATAATTTCCGAACCCCATCCGACCTGACGAATTGACAGTAATTACAGATCCGAACCCGGAAAAAAAAAAAAAAAATTAATTTAGTTATTAACGGTCGGGGACGCGCAGCTGAATAAGCGAGGCAGAAGATTTGGAGCTAAGGTATGTTTGTCATTTCATGGCCGTAAAAGAACATTTAAAAGCCGTTTCTGGCTGCATTCTTCTTAATTACTGAGACACGTGGACAGCTCTGACACATGTCTGCTTTGGGATGTCACATGTTTGGGTCATCAGCCGGGCGCGTCTGCTGAGTGCAGCAGTATGAACATCCATTGGGCGATGGATCAGTGCCTGGCAGTATAGTCCCATCTGCAGATTAACTGAATTTTTACCTTTTTCAATTGTCTTTCAAGGCCAGTCAGCTCGCGGTGAAATGGCCGCATGCGGCTGGTGGATGTATAGCAGGCTTTGTTATCATATACTTGGATAGCGGCTGATCCTGGCCTAATTAACAGCCCGAGAACGGCCCAGCCCGCCTATTAATCACATTATAACAGCCCGGCCCTAATCCGGGTCGGTCCAGGCCCGGTTAGAAATGACAGCTCTACGACAGTAGGTGTATGCTGAGTCCAATGGACATGGATATGTCCCATATTTCTTCCAATGCTAGATAATGGATTTAGAAGAACACCTTGGGATGTGTAGGGCCTTGGAAATAATTTTGTATCAATCTTCTGACTTGTATTATTCAATCATATTTTTATGGGTCTCTTTAAAGGTGTGAATATTTATTCAGTCACTTATTTTATATAGCATTTTTTCATTTAATGGGCATTATTGTAGAAATACAATGTAACTTTGTAATTGAAAAGGGTTTTTATTAATTTTGTTATAAACCATCAATGTAAAACATCTAAGGGGTGAATACTTTTCATAATCACTGCCCTTTGAGGACCAACAGATTGTGTTTAAAACTTTTACAGCCAAACTAGAAGGCAATGTATGTTTCTTTAAGGAATTGTGCTTTTATTTTTCATGTCTTATAAAATCAGTGTCCTATTAGCTAATCAGTGAGGTCAAAGCAGCAAAGAAAAACAGGTGCCAACCCTTACATTAGCGTATCATCTATAAACAAAATGAAGTTGTGAAAGCAAACATGCTCATGAACACAAGGGAACTGAGACAACACTTATGGTGTTATGCCCGTAATTTCATCAGCAGGGTTTGAACATGATACCAGAACTATCCTTCCGGAAAACTAAGTAAACTCACAGCATTGATACCTGAAGGCCGTACAGAGGACATTCGTTTGCAACCTCTCCCATGGATTGAGTATGTTTTTAGTTTTATGTTTGATTCTGCACCGAGAAACGTTGACAGTTCAAGCAAATGGAGTAAATTGTTTTACATGTATCAGAAGTGTCGATCCAAATATCTGAAAGGAAAAAGAACTGTCATTTTGCACTGAAGTTCCAGCTCTTATCAAGTCAAACTTTGTTCTGTTGACAGCTCAAAGGCCTCAAAGTAACTGACATATGATGATATCATCCAAAAGCAAACAGTGTGCTTTATTCATGTCTGAATGTTTGAAATTGATTTGACCTTTATATTCCAACATGTAAACTATGCAACCCAGGTCGTACATGTGTTTATACACATAATCTGCTTGATTGTTGATTAAAACCACTGCATCATTAGTGACACTTGGATCATTTAAGATTTGACACGTGTCCAGGTGGCATGAGTTAGCAAAATGTCACTGCTTTAACAGCATAAAAAGCTATTGTTTTAGCTTATTTGGTTGAAATGTTTTCAGTATTTCTGAATCCTTTCTTGAGGCAACATAGAAAACTGGCTACTCTGTGCTCAAATTTTAGTCACATTCTTTGTAATCAATTCACAGATTTTGGGTTGTCCTCCTTTTCATACCTTGTTTAGTACAATTCAATTCAATTCAGTTTATTTCTATAGTTTCTGTTGCTTTATCGTTTTTGGCTTGAATGTTTTTTTGAATATTTCTAAGGTGCCAGTCTCAACAGAAATCATCTCAGGGCACTGAACAGAAACATTCAT